GAGGAGCAGGCGAGTCTTCCGGTTCGCAGAGGAGCGTCGGAGCGGGGTTTTCGGCGCAGGAAGAAGAGGAGGTGAGCGAGGCTTCTTCTGCGTTGCAGAAGAGCTCACGGGATCGAGCGTCTGATTTTGTCGCGCGCGAGAGGGAGGAGCGGACGAGCGGGGTCGAGCGGGGAAAGAGCGATTCGAGGAAGAGAGTAGGCGGGGTTTGTGGCTTCGGTGCGAGAGATCGGGAGTCGAGCGGAGGACTCTAGTGCCGAAGGAAGGAATCGGGCGAGAGAAGGAAGAGGCGCAGTGCCGAGAGGGGGAGAAGGCGAGCGGGGGTCTGTCACGAGGAAACCTCCGAGCCGAGCAGGAGGAGGGAGTCGAGATTGAGCGTGAGACGGAAGAGGAAGTCGAATCGCCCCTCCCCTCCGAGGAAGAAGCCGGCGTTCCTTTTAGAATAGGAGCTGGCCGAATTAATCCAAGGAGTCGTTACATTGGCAGGGAATTAAAAGACTTCCTTTCAGGCAGCCAGCTTAAATGGAAATATTTAATGGAGGATTAAATCATAAATTTGAATTTTAAAATTTGAAATTTGAAATCTATGGGTTGAAGTAATTAGCCGGGCTTAATCCGTATCGAGCCTGAATCAAACCCGAGTCGGACCTGGGTAGAGCCCAGGCCCGCGCACCGCTAAAAAAAAATATGCATCGATATCTGTCTTAGTCGCTCGCGAGCAAAACCATAACAATGTGGGTGTCCTTCTTAGCTAAAGGCAAAACCATAACAATGTGGGTGTCCTTCCTAGCTAAAGTTAATGTTCCGGACGCGTCGGTGCGGTCTGTTTCGTTATCTGGGGTCGTCCAGACGAGCTCGCCGACGGTCGGGCCCAAAAATGTGTCGATTCAAGTCGAAGTCGTGTGGTGCAGAGAGTGCATGAATTGCGGTGTTCACGAGTAATCGAGTCACAAAGGGTTCATCTAAGGCTGTTTGATCCTATAGGAACTCATTTTCGGGTCCTCTACATGTTGATCCTTAGCCCTTGCAACTAGAAGTCGAGTGCTTGGAACCACTCATGCGAGTTCTTCACAAAAATGAGTCAAGAAGTGGCTTGAAATTCTACGGGAGGTTGGCTCCATTACTAGTCTGTTAAGATGGGCAATAAGAACTCCTAAAGCTAGATCCTAGGTTCTAAAAGTAGGAGACTAAGACCTCACTAAAAATGAGGTCAACACTTGTCTGTTAGGCTTCCAACCCAATCGCTTCCTCTCCCTTCTGTTTATTTACCCAACCCAACCCTTCCCTTCCTCTTCCTCGATTCTTCAATTCCCCTCCCCCCATTTAGCAGAACTATTATACCGGGGTTCGAGTTTCCCAAAGGGGCGAGCCTCTACAACTAGTTACCCCTCCCATTAACGGGAGAGCACTTCTGGATAAAACTAATTATTAAAAGTTGAATATTCATCATATAATAATCGCAGGCTTAGGATATAAGTTGGAAAGTTTATCACTTGAAACTTAAAATAGATGGTGGGGAAAATTGAGATGAAACCTGATCAAGATCTCATGCTTCTGTCACCCCGGGTCTTCGTGGTCCTGAATTATTAAGCCGGAGGAGGTAGTCGACCTAACCTGACAGAAGTATTCGTATTAAGAACTATGGGCCGCGTCCTATAAGAGACCCGCAGTCATAATCGTAATATATAGTATCAATCACCCGATCAGAAGACCCTGTTTGTAACTGCCAGTTTGTAGTGTCATTTGGTTGCGAAATCACGCAGACAGAGGACTCAAGTCACGTCATTAACGGCATGCAATTGTGTTGATTGTGGATATAAAGATACATTTAATATGACAGTAACTCGTTGAGACCAGAAGTTAATCAGAAATTTGTTAGCCACGATAAACTATTGTAAAGAGTGAATTCAGTTTGTTTTAAGTCTTAAGTGATTTAATTAGCTTGAGTTGTTTAGTTAATTACTTTGAAAATTTTGATTAAAAAGATTGACCACTCCAGCAGAAATCTTCAATTAACACGGCCAAAATCGAAGAGTTAAGCATTTCAAACTTTTATTTTTGAAGTAAAATTTAATTCCTCTGGTCTAACCTTTTTAGAGTGCAAGTCTTATCGTCCCGTGTCCTTTCAAAAAGGATTATCGGACTAGGTGATTTAGACTTGTAAATCCTTATCTTTATGATTTGGACGTTTTTTTACAAAATTACTAAACCAGAGAACTTCAGTCCTTGCGAAGAAGATTGGACTAGTTGGGCAGCACATACAACCATATCTTATAGACAAGTTGGCATAGTTAACCCACGCAGCATTCTCAAACCCAAGATTTCAACATTCAATACATTGGTTGGCGCACATGTCAATATTGTTTAATTTCATCTATTTAGCTATTTTAGAAACTTTGCATGTCTCAAGGAAATTAACAACATTTTAAAGCATCAATTAAATCAATAATTGCTCCAAAAGACACATGTAAGACTTGAATTTATATAATTTTGCTTCATTTGAATGAATGTATTGAAGCATGCAAAGGTTCACATCAAGCTTTTAAAATATTGTCTTTTGTTCGCTTGTAAATATAATGCGAATCCGATGGCGGGATTTTAAAGTTTCAAAAAGCCTCAAATTTGAATTATCTTTTGTACCTACGAGCCTAAGTTCGAAAACCCAATTTTAAATTGATTTTCAAACCTTAGGAACCGAAGTCTAAAGGGCTCAATTTTAAATTGATTTTCAAAGCTTAGGAACCGAAGTCTAAAGGCCTAATTAATCCCTTTTACAAGCTTAAATTTTAAAATCCCAACTTTAATATTTTAATCCCTAGGAGTATATTTTAAAAGCCTGAAACACTAGAATTTTTAAAATCATAAGAGCCTAAATATTAAAAGCCTAGATGTCCGATATTCTAAACCCTAAGAACCTAAATATTAAAAGCATGAATTTTCAAATCATTTTATAATTCATATGAGTCACATTTAATTTTATTTCATAAGTTCAAGCTTTTAAATAATTTAAGTTTAAAACAACGAGAATTCTAGCCACCTCCCGATGTCAACCCATGTTAGGGGACATGGGAGAATGTCATTCTCTATTGTCTAAAAAAACTCGCTAGTCAATGTCGTGAGACATTTCGACCAGGGACCAAAACAGAACATTTAACCTGCGATCTCCAACAACACAATGGGCTTTCAATATACCTGCAGAAAAGCTCAAATCGCAAATCAGCATTCCCCGAACAGTAATTTACTTTCACCGAACAATACTTAATTCACACGAACGGGTACTCACATTTCTCATGTATGGGTATTGTAAAAACTCAATTTTTAAAAAGAGTTCTCTAGACAAGTTCACGATTTCCTCGAACGGTACTTAATTCCCAAGGACGGGTACTCATACTCTCCTCGAATGGAGATTTTGAAAAATACCCATATTGCCCCAATGCATAATACATTTCAAACTCCACTCTGACGGCATTGACAACGATAAGAACAATAAAATAAAGAGGCTTTTACATACATAGCACCCGAAATATTACTATTTATCTCACATCTCAAACTTCAATATTACGAAATTCGCACTCTGTTAACCACTCTGTCTACAATCTCTATCCTCCGGCGACACTGTTGGCATTCTGAAAGCTTTAAATCTTCTATTTAGATATTAAATATTAGATTCTTAAAACATTTTTTCAACAAAATATAATCTATCCAAGTTTTTTTTTTATGTGAAATAAAGAGCTTGTGTGAGATCTGAGCCAGAGAAGAAGGATTCGAAATAAAAGGGATCAGCAAATAGGGATTTCGGCAGGAACAGTAAAGCAAAAAAGCAATAAATTTGGCAATGCCAACAAAAGCCAAAAAACACCAAAACAAAAATGCCAGCAATAAAGGCAGGGACCACTAGAACAAAAACACCAATAAAGAAGTTAGTGATGGCAGAGCAACTGTTGGTGCAGTTCTATCGCCTCTGTCCGAAGGCCTTGGTTAGGGTTTAGTATGATAAACAGCCTTGTGACTCCGAGAAGTATGATAAGCTCTTCCACCTTGCTTTGGAGGATATCTTCGGATAAGAGAATGCCTTCTATCAAAACTAGAGAATGCTCGTCTGCCATTGAAAGGTAATAAGCCAAAATATCGGACCTCAGCTTTTCCATGTGTAGAGGAGAAATTCTAACCAGGGCAGCACTCTCTATGGTACAACGAACATAGGTTTGTCTTGTACATCTTCCTTTCCAGAATCGCTAACAGGAATAGCAATTGATAGATCCAAACATAGGAGATCAAGAGATTCCCAGAAGAAAACCAAGGTCAGGAAAAATGAATCTACGGTTTTCAAAAACTCTGCAAATTACAACGCATATATGTACAATGAAGTGTTTAGTGATGTCCTGGGGAGCACTGATAATGTACACGAAGGTCGAAAACACTAGAACTGACGACGCAAAAAAGCAAAGATAGAAGATTTCAAGGTTTTCGCAAGGATCACTTCGGCGATGTTCCTCATTAGGAATGATAAGTGGAGAAAAAAGCTAAAACGTTCGATTCAATGAACAGAGGGAATGTTCACGGTCGGAGCGGCATGTAACAAGAGAAGTTGGGAGTTTCGAACGCCTCGTCTGCAACAATCTCCTCGTCATCTTCGGTGGCTTATTCTGTCGTGTGGTTCCTAGCCGAGAGGAGGAAGACCCATCATGAAGGTAGTTGAGGGCTTCAGTGAGCCAGCGAACAGAGAAACAGTAGGGTATCCCTCGATTTCATCGTGTCTTCCTGGTCTTCTTTTATCGTGGCTGTGCCGCAAAGGATTCAGGCAGGAAAGAGGTAGACGACAATTTCGATTCTAATAGGAAAACAAAAGGATAGGTCCAATTACGAGGCAAAGCGGAGACCTTCAGTGTCAGGAGAAGAGGCTTCTGGTAGAGTGTAGAAGACTGCATAAATAGAGCAAGGATGTGGATTTTCTAATCAAGGAGCAAGAAGTTTTTAGAAATTGAGAGGGGGTGGGTAGTTATCTGTTTTAACTTACATTTAATTTTTTTATTCATATATTTTTAAATAATATTTTTTTTAATAGTGAACACAATAAGTTCCAAAAAACCAAAATATTATATTTAATAAATTTAAACAACTATATATCACTAACATTACTAAATAATTTAATAGTGAACACAATAAGTTCCAAAAAACCAAAATATTATATTTAATAAATTTAAACAACTATATATCACTAACATTACTAAATAAATTACATTAAAAATAATGATAAAACTAAATATGTTTCATACCCATATTTTCTTTTTATTTTATTTACCTTGTCTCACACTCAATTTTTCATCCCTCATATGTCGCATGGTTTTGCCCTCATTTCATCTCTCCATCGCACAGTGCTCCTGAAATCCTCACTTCTCATCAAAGCTCCTCACCAAATCAACTACACATAATTATCATTTCTCCCTCAAAGCAAGTTTCAAGCCACAAATCATGCATCCCCCACCTAACAAGCAAGATGTCACACCCCAACTAACTCCCCCTAGTAGAATCAATCATAGCGTAACAAAGGCTGACAATTTATTTAGACCAACCCTCGCCACCACTCGTCCTGACTTATAAAATCAAGACCCAGTGGATGATGAAATTCTAAATAGATCGTCGCAACATACATGATACATTATTGTTCATATACATACTCGAAAACATGGAAATCATATCAACTAAAACATTAAAACTATATAAAGTTAGTTAAATCCCACATAATAAAAATATGTACCTAAAATAGATGTACAACCTCCCAAAACTATCGTGCAAAAGCTGTATAAACACAAACCTGACCACTCGCACTGGTACTCATTGCCCCTACCTGAAAGGCAACAACAAAGAATAAGCAATAACTGGCTAAGAGAAATAATAAGGGCTAACATTATATTTATATATGAAAAATAAACGTGCAGGCTCGTATAAAACTATACATTTCTACACACAGATCATAACATGCTATAGAACATGAAAAGACAGCAGATATAGGTAATATAAAAATCAAGACTGAAATGTAACATATAGGGTGTAAGCATCAAATCATAAGCATAATAAAAAGCATGTTCATAGTATATTATCATAACAATGTCATTTCATGGAAATCATATCACAATAATGTCACTTGTTTAAGATATAAGGTTCAACTAGTTTCATGTCTTTTCATCATGGGTTGACGCTCTGTCCCAAATGTTATATAAACTATCAATAAAGATTAAGCTTTCCCCAACATGGCAGTCATCGATCGCCCCTCTATACCCACAATTCCCTAATGATGTCACTATCTAATCTTAACGATTCCTAGATTTTCGTCCCCGTATAAATATCAAAAATCGGGATTACTACATCTTGTTACGATTCAACGTATTCACACAGATTTCATAGAAATTAGGGCAAACGGAAATTTTTTTCACAATAATCTAGAAAACTCACACGAAAACAAATATAAACAACAATTGGTAGGCGGTCTCTCCATTTTCCTAAAATTCGTTAAAGGAAATCTCTCTCAAACCCTTGACCTAAGACTCACAAATCAATCACATGCATAAAACTAACCCTATACATAATAAACATATTTATACCAACAATAATAATAAAAATAAAGACTATATTGCCCTTATGTGTATAAAAGAAAATTTTGCCCTTCAACTAGGAGCCCTCATAACAAAAATTTCGCCTACCAAAAGACATCTTGTCCTCAAGATGAAAAAAATGATTGATCCTCTGACTCCCTCACAGCTTACTCGATTTCTTCATTCTCTGAATCATTCTCCTGCACTACGAGAACTTGTGATTTTGAACCTCGCAACAGCGCTCTGGGATAAACTTCTCATCACACCGAAAACATATCCCCTTGCCTCTCGTCTCCTAAATCTATGTCTCTATAAGTAGTGTTGCTCCCGATTGAGGTCCATTATTCGTATCCCGTGTAGCCTCCCTCTAGAATTTCACCGTCTAAACTTTTGGCATTATCGTTCTTGCAGCAGTTTCCTATGACACTCCATTTGTGTTGTTCTTGTTGGCTTTCTTCATCTGGTTCTGGTCTTCCACCATGTATCGAAGGTAAAACTCCTTCGATCGTAGTCATATCCCCTCCCTATTTGTAAAGAAATCGTTGCCATGTAATAAGCCGCAAAACATTGCCTTCTTTTGTAGGTCACAAGCCTGCTAGGTCAAATCGATCGACCATAGCTCTTTACGCCGCGATCCCTTCAGCCTTCCAAGCTAGTTTCACTCAGATTTCAAGCACTCTTTCCCAAAAATCTTGCTCTGATACTAATTTCTTATGATTTGATGTAGAAATCCACACAGATTGTGTAAAGATTAGAGCAAACATAAATTCTTATTGAAATAATCCAAATAAATCACACGAATACAAAGATAAACCTACAATTCGAGAGATGTGCGGTCTCTCTCAATTCCTATAATTCGAGATGATGGAAATATCTCCCAAACCATAGACGTAAGAGTCGCAACCCAATCTCAAGCATAAAACTAACCCTAGACATGACAAGTATATTTATACTTAAAAATAATAATAATAAAAGACTAAATTACTCTTAAGCATACAAAAGACAAATTTGCCCTTAGGCTAAGCTCCCTCATAACATATCTCTGTGTATTTGTACTAGCATAGTTTAACCCCTAACATTCCTTGTGACATTGAATCATCACTCCTGCATCAATCATTTATCAGGCCTTACATGTATCAATAGGCATAGACATGAAGCATAACAAATAAATACCTGCAGAAAATTCATATAATATGCATAGTCATATATAACATAGGTTGATTATAGCATCACATGTATCGTAGTAAAAGTAAATGTGCATTTATACTTTCAATTGCATATATTCATTAACAATATGCAAGAAGTTTAAATGTATGTGTCAAAAAAAAAAACATATGAAAGCCTATATAAGATAATGTTTCTTAAATTATCACAAGATCATTTCACCTAACTTAGCGGAGCAGACCTACGACGAGTGCCTACGCGCTCGTCTCGAGCTCGCCACCTCATATAAATAACTTGGGCCTGGTAGACAGCATAGGATTTCATGAAATTTAGTTCATAATATGCATTATCCCAAAACATGCATTAATTTCCAAAACAAATCTCAAATGGACTTCTCGGCAACCATCTAATTTTCTTTCTATCACCTCCAACCACACCTCCTTATGTTGATTTTGTGCTAGAACCCTTGTGGAAGCTCGCAAAGGCCCTTAGACGCTTCTGGCACATAATCAGCACCTTCAACGGCTGCCGAAAATGATATTTACATGAAAACAAGGCAAAAGTCAAAACGGAAGAGTGAGGAAAGAAATGAAAGTCTCAAATGACGTGAGAGAGGAATTTATGCTTATAGAAATCGCTCCAAAACACTATATCATAAGCTGCGGCACCCAGATGGCCACTCAGTTCGCTATCCGCCCCTTGCTACAGTACCTGGGCGATGCTTCTCACGGGATTACCCCCAAGCCCGTGAAACCGAGCAAGTAAAGGGAGAAGAGGGGAGAGGAAAAGGAATCTCAGGAGAGGGTAAGAAAATGTGAAGGTTTTAGATCCCTAATCGACCGAAACGCACAAATAGAAAGGCGAGAGGCAAATGGATACAGTGCTGAGAGGATTATGGAGAATTAATTAAAGTAATTAAGATTTAAGTGAATAAAACACATAACTTCTAATTTATATATTTCCCAAACCATGTAGTGTTTTATATCGAATTGCTCGATTCCATATGTAGAATTTTATAAAATTGTTTGGAACACATTCTGAGGGTTGCAAAATTTGAGGAACATTAAGAATTGTCAAACTTACTTGATTTCACGAAATTTGGGTGTCACAAGGCGCTCACGTTGCTCCCATCAAACACACATAGGCCGCTCCTCCTACCCCCCTCATACTCTTGCTCTACACTCCTCTCCTTCAAACTACTCTTTCAAGTATATACCATAGATTGCCATGCCTACCTCCCTCATCCTCTTGCTCGACCCTTCTAAAAACTCTCACCCTCAACCTAGCATCACACTCATCAATGACGAGCTAAACTGCCGATCTACTCACCCAATTTCAAGCTCCCAACCTTGAATCTCTCCCAAAGCTCCTTCAAACACCAATTCTGCCAACCCAAAAAACCCTAACCACCTCCTAAATCATGCCTCTACTCAGAGCAGACATCCATGCAAACCTGTTGGGAAAGAACGGTAAGAGCAAGAATTTTTTAAATCCCTAACAAATCTCTCAGGACAGCTGGAAAGAATTTTCAGATCTAGCATCTCAAAACAAAAAAAAAAACTAAAAAAGACAAAAGCACCATAATATAAACTTCAGTAATATATCATTAAACTCTTCATAACATGATGGTTTACGACGAATAAAAGGATAGTTATTAAATCAGCCTAATAAATATAAACTTCAGTAATATATCATTCAACTCTTCATAACATGATTGTTTATGACGAATAAAAGGATAGTTATTAAATCAGCCTAATAAATAAAAGTACAAACAATTCTTCAAACTTGTTATAAGATAATCTTCAAGAAAAAAGAGAATAAAAAATGTGATGATACATAAATAAAGTTCTCATGCAGCTTGATAATCAATCAGATAGCAGAAGCATACTGCAACAAAAAACTAACGAAATTGGGAAGGTAAAATATCTCATCGTCCAATTTGTGTTGGCAAAGTATACCAGAAATCACAGGTATTGTAAAAGGAGCATGTCTGGCAATACATACAACAGTAAAGCTGTGAGGAGAAGAATCATATAAGGGGATGCATGATGTGGCAGAAATACCCCACATTCTCACATTACCAGAAGATCTTTGAGGCACTATGATTGCCACCGCATGTAATTAGTAAGTATATTCTGTACCTTCTAAAGGATCTCCTGTGATTTGGAGGTAGTTATGGTTTGCGAAAGGCACAAAGATCGAACAATAGCTTAAGAGAAAGGACATCAATTCATCACCAATCTGGAAGTAAACAATACAAAAGAATTTGAGTTCAACATAGTTGTCATCACCTCATAACTTTGAATTATCAAAACAGTAAAGACATGAAGCAAAATAATTTTATAGAGAAAAAATTTTTCTCATAAGAAATTACCCTTTCCAACAAATGATCCAAAACATGACTGCAGTTGATAGCACGATCAGCAAAAAAACCATTTTTCTGAATAATGTAAATTAATATCGTTAATTAGACTGCCAAAAAAATAGCACTACAGTGCATCAACAGAACGTTTATGAACAAAATTTCATAAGAATGTATTTAACAAAAAGGTCACAAGAAATTCCTGGACCCAACACATCCAGAGAGCATGGAACAACAATTTAAGTTGAGCAAGCAATCTCATTATCGTAGAGAAACCATAGCCTTTAGGGGAACCAAAAGAATAACAAATGGCATTAATAAGGAAAAAAATTATTCTCACTCCTGAAACCAAACATTGAATTTTTTATTTTAACTATTGAATCACACAGGCGTACAAATCTTTTGAGAACTGTCACTTCTGGATATTGCTCAAGCTTTCATCAAGCACAGGCAATGTGAAGAAATGCATTTACAAAGCCAGATATAGGTCTAGAATTTTTTCATGCAAGTCCCATTTATAAAAATGAAATATAGAAAGTGTTGCAACCTTGCACAAATTTGACTATTTTTTGCTTCACCGGAAGGAGAAAAAAACAATTAGTTCAAAAATTAAATTAAACAGTTATAAATTCTATGCATAAAGAAAAATATTGAACACATATATCACTTGAAGATCAAAAATCTCTTAAGCAAACACAAAAAGATATGATCCTTCAAGGTAGTGGGACTCCATTTCCTCCATTTTGAATTTAAATAAACAAATTGCACGGTAGAAAGCACACAATCAAAGATAAATCAATGACTCGTTATATATGGCATAGACAGTGCGGCTGTAAAAACACTTGGAGATGGAGGAAGTGTAACATTACTCAAGTAAACAAGGTAATAGCAACAATCTCCTTATCAACTCTAAAAGTACTTTCACTAGCTATTTGCATTGAGGCATGGATGAGGAGCCATAACCGTTTCTGCGAAAAATCAGGAAAGTGGACCGTCCAGCCACCTCATTGCTACCGGGGGATTGGAGATAAATTTGGAAACCTCTTGATTAGTTATTCTCTTACTATTTTGACGTTTCTTTTATTTATTTCAGAATTATTTCCTTTCCAAATTAAGATAAAAGATATTGGATAAGCTTGTAATTTAGGAGGGTTAACTTCCCTATATATGTCTCTTACATGGGAAAAATGAAATCAAGCAAATATTTTCCTCAAAGAGGTTTTTTTAAGATGGTATCAAAGCTTAAAAATCTATCGTTCGAGTTCAAGCACTCCATCTCCATGTTTTTCTTCATCCTATAAAAACTTCGAGTTGCAAAAAGGGCCCAATCATCCTCTGTATCTCCAGTGAACTTTCCTTGTCAGCGAAGAAAATGAAGAATGTGTAAAATTTCTGTTACAACATCTTTGACGCACAAAGTCGTCTCCTCTCCTACACACGAAAGCTAAGTTTGATGTATCCTCTATTCATGTCCGCGTGAAATCACAGTGCACTGTCATTCATACCTTCTGCTCGACCAGAAAGTTTATGTTGTTCGTCTTTTCTGCCCAGTCTGATCGCAATTCCTTGCAGTTGGAAATCTCCTCCACCAACCCTTTTTCTATAGCTAAAGCAGCCAGCGGCCTCCGCCGGTCTTCTCCTTGCCTCGACAACACCCAGAAGCCTCTGTGAAGCCTTCTTCTTGCTCAGCAGCCCTTCCATGTCCTCCGATCTACAGACTACAGCCCTCCTACGGAGCCCCTCCTCTTCTCCCTGACATTGAAATTCTCCATGCATCCCAATTCGTGCCATCAAACTCTCCCTGCAACCTGAATTATCCCTGATACATGCCCTCCTCCAGCAAAACCCTCCTACAACAGCAGCAGCACCACCACATGTCTTCCTGCAAGCCCTTAGTCGAAGCTTTACTCTACACCAAGCCCTCCTCCAGAGTTTCTCCATGCAACCCATCAGCACGGGAATTCTCCTTGCAGGCCCCCCTGGTTGTTGTTTCTTCTCCCATTATGATCTACACAAGCGGCTAGCCAATCCTGCATGCTCTTGCCAGTCACAAAAATTCTACTGCAACCATCAGCACGGAAATTCTCCTCACAGGCCCTCCTGGTTGTTTCTTCTCCCACTATGATCAACACAAGCCACTACCCAATCCTACTCATGCTCTTGCCAATCTATCGGCTCCGTGCAGGTGTCCAACTGCAAGTTATCGTTCCCATACAGACTTCACAGCAGCCTTCCAGTCTCCATTGTCTTCCAGCAGGGCAGTCGGAAGTAGTAGGTAGCACGTAGCAAGCAACCAGCCAACCTTCCCGTTGACAGCCCAACTATTCTTTTCCGAGCAGGCATGCCTCTCCAACTTCCTACAAATTCTTCCACTTCTGGGGCAAGAAGCAGCCAGAAATCATGCAGCTTATACCAATCAAACTTCTTCCAGCCGTAAACATGCATAGGATTTTCGAAAACGTCGACTTCTACTCCGGAGCCTACCACCTTGATGACACACCAAGATATCATATCCTCCTATTATGCTAACAATGGAAGATTTTAACAATGAAAAATAGATTTAGGTGTTTCAAATCACATGGCTGGACACACTCATATGCAATCATCAACTATCAAGAGATCATCAACCAAAAATTTGAGAGACTTGCCGATGGATCTCACTTCAACATTGTTAGGAAAGGAGATATGAAATTCTCCAAAGATATTCAGCTTTCTTCAGCTATATGTTCCCCAATTAGGTTACTACTTACTTTCAATTAGCAAGCTTAATCATGAGTTAAATTGTGTTAGTAAATTTCATTCTTACTTATATGAATTTTAGGAGATGGATTCGTAGATGCAAATTGGCAGTGTGGAATCGCAATAAGTTTCATATATGCCTAAAGAGTACTATTCTCTTACACACAAGTGCACTCTCCACTTTCCTCTTCTCTTGAGCATGAGTTTGTTGTATTTGAACCTATTGAAAGTCAAGTTCATTATGAAATTGCCGTCTGTGTCGTCCCAATTTTCTTTATGTTGCAAAGTTGTACCCTCATCTCTCTTTATTCACAAAAAAGTCTCAATTTCGTCATTGTGAAACATGTCCATTAATTAAACATAATTGATATGTATATCATCTATCTCAGTAAAAACCCTCACATCATTTCTATGTTATCCATAATGACATTTGGAGCATTCAAAAGTGAAAACCTCAAAAGAGTTGGATTATTTGTATCCATCCAAGATGATCATGCTAGAATCAGTTGGATACTTCCCATAAAGGAGAAATTTAAAACACAAAGCTTTCACACCTTACATGACATAATTTACCCTCAATTCAAATTTATAATTCAGATTCTCAAAATTGATAATGCAAAAAAATACTTTAACTCACGCGGGGCTAATGAGGGACCAGTTGGTGCTTTAACAAATGTCGAGTTCATGGGGGACCAGCTGAGCATATGTCCAACCCAGTGGACTCGCTGATCCGCTTGGAGAGGGTGCCCCACTGCCCATCCTTCCTCTTCTTTCATTTCCTTTTTATCTCTTCCTTTTTCTTTCCTTACTTCCTCTTTATATTTCCCTTCCTAAGCCCTTTCCTAATTTGAATCATTTCCTAAAAGCCTAAATCCATATTTTATTCTCCATCATTAATTTAAACCTTTCCTAAGAATCTAATATCTTGATTTTTTTTATTCTCCTTTCTTAATTTAAATGTTTCCTAAATTGGATCAAGTCTCTTAGAAATAGGAGTTAATCTATCTAGAGTTAGGGACACTGTTTTCGAAGATGGATTCAGCATTGCCTTCATATTTTCCCTCTTGAGGGTTTTATCCAATGACGAGGAAGGAACTCCGACCGTAACCCCGTCCTAGATGTAAATTATCTACATCATTTTGACTCCGTTCAGCACCCCGACAGGCCGCCTCTGCCCCTCCTTCCTCTCAACCCTTGCTAGCAGCTCCTATGTTGTTTGCCTACCACAAGATTGTTCAATGTCCTCCAACAGCACGTCGCAATAGCTCCATCCTGCAGCCAAAAAAGTCCATGCCTCTGTTGGCCCGTGGTTCAAGTTGTTGCCCCCATCCGGCTGACAGTCCGCAGCCCACAGAATTGATTCCCAACCCGCTGCTGCGGTTTTCCAACAGACCGCAGCCCTCTATCTTGCCTTCCAGACAGTTGTCACCTTCCTTCCAGCATGTCGGCAACTTCCAGGTCGTTGCCCCCTTCATCCCAACTGGCCGCTGTCACCTTCATCCCAACTGGCCGCTGTCACCTTCATCCCAACTGACGGGTTTCATCTGTCTGACAATCCCAGTGCCTCCCGCAGATGCAGATAACCTCGTGCAGCCCACTGCTCGGCTTCCGCTGCCCTCCTTCCCTGACCCCTGTACCCGCAGGCAATGTGCCACCACCATGCCCTCGCAAGCATTGCGCCCACACGTTGCCCCTAGCAGACCATATCTTTTCCGTCTCCTCGAGGCCACCATCCCTCGTCTCTTTTGTTCCAGACATTGATGATGTTCCCGTTTCTTTCTAGCCATGGTTCGACGCCTTACTATCACTGATTTGTTGTCCTTCTCCCATGATAGCCTGACACCTCTCCGGCCATCTTCGTGGTTGCCGATCTAATATCACCTCGTCAGACTCCCTCCTCAACAAGCTCGTTGTGTCAAACTTGTTGTGTCATTAGTTGTAATCCTTTTGTTCTTCACTTTTGCTTTGTGTGTTTCATTTATAACTTTATTTTAAGTCAGTAATAAAATTGTGTCTTGCGTCATTTGGGTTACCTCCGATATCATTTGGTATCCGAGCTAACTTACTTCTAGCCCTACCTTAGAGTTTCCTAGCATATGCATCCCTATCCCTACCCAAGCAAATATATGTATATATATCTATATTTTTTTTTTGATAGACAAAGGTGGTATGAGAAGGCCCAGTAGAGGCACCTTACTCATACTATATCAAGTACATTACTACCCCAACAAAAGATACATATAGACACAAAAAAAAATTTAAAACATACAGAAAACAAATAGCTAGGGACGATCCAGTTTAGTCATGCCTCTTCCTCTAGTTTTAGGAGCGGAGCCAGA